AGGGTAAATCAAGGTGAAGAGTTGAAATCTGAGCTGTATTTGCCTCCAAATCGTATTGGCTGAGCAATAGCCAATAGAAATTAAGTGTTTACCGGAAAGAGTTTGCCAGGACAATTTTGATGTCCACACATTCTAGGATGACTCATCTGTCTCATTCACTTTTTGAAGTACACATAACTCTCGGATTTAAATCCGAGGTTTCCACATTTATTATTTTTTATTTTAGATTGTTTCCAAGGATACATCAAAAAGTAGGTATTAATGTATTTAAATAATTTTATTTTTTATTTTAGATTATTTATAACGTTAAATTGAATGGGATGGCACTGATTAGTCTGACCGGATAGCCGAATTTTATTTTTATCATGCTGTTTCTATAATGTATCAGGTAACTATGATTTTTTTACCAGTTATAGTACTCGCATGGTGCCATACAAGTACTATAACTGATAAAAAAATCATATTTACCTGATACATTATAGCAACAGTATGATAACACAGGAATTCAGTCATCCAATCAGACTAATCAGCTCAATATATATTAAGTATTGCAAAATAAAAAGCTAATGAGTGCAGCATGGGTGTTGCACGTAATATCTGGTTTATCTATAGAAATCTAGTAGGATCCCGTCGGATCCTGTACTTTCCAAGATCTTTCGACTGTCGGAAATCATCGGATCCGACATCCGACAACTTACGACTGGATTCCCGTCGGAATTTATCGGATTAAGCCAGATTTCCGACAGGATTCGGGACCCGGAATACTCGTCCTGGGTAAACATGATCACTATTTATTTCATGAAATAAAAGTAAATATTTTTTTTTTAATTCTATAGATATAGACATAGTGGAAATATTTATGCTAGATAACGATAGATCATTTGAAGATCTAAGATTAAAATTGTTTGGTTTAAGAGATAAACAACCAGTTTGAGAATATCTTCAAGCTGTTTTACAACATAAAAAATTATCAAGAGTAAAAAAATTTCAAAACAAATATAAACATAAATGATTGTCTTTTTATTTAAATCGTATTGTACACAAATAAGAATATTAACCGTTATGATTGACGGATTTATTTTTAAATCACCTTGATCAATTATGTGAAAAATGATTGTAGAACAAGAATATAACCTTATTCAAATAATAGATCACCATTTTATCTTCAATCACATCAAGAATTTTTATATGAATATAGTCGAAAAGATAATATTTTATGAAACTGGTCGAAACATTTCAATATTTTTAACGTAAACGATAAATTCAATCATATATTAAAGAAGATCGTTCAGCTATGTATCATCTATTAACAAATCATGCTCATCTAGTTCATTTTATTTTATTTGGTGAACATTGACAAGATTATGAAAAAGCATTAAAAACACTTCGACCATTAGTATATATATATATTTTTTTTTTTAATTTTTAAATTTGAATTTTTTTTCGAATGATTATCAACTTGTTTATAAATATTGACCAAGATTAATTGAAAACTAACCTTAAAATCTAATATCTCTTTGGAAAAACGAAATATAATGAACGTTTGTTAAGCTAAAGAATTCTAACCAGCAATTATTGATTATTCAAGAGCATATACAACAGTAATAAATATTTTTATTTTCTTTATTTTGAAGGGAAAACTCTATTAGATTTTTTTAAATATTGTTTATCGAGAGGGTCTATTGATAAATCAATTGATAATAATTATCTTCTTTCGGACATATTGCAAATATTTCACCTAGTCAAATAATTCCTTATTTAACAAATCAAAAATAACTATTAATAAAACATATCTAGTTTATAATAAATAAATCATCTTAAAGAAGAATGTATCTTTTTATGTCGTTTATTAAATATCCATGAACGAACCTGTTGATAAAGCTTTAGAAGTTATAAATAAAGACAAACAACTAATAGATCAATGACTAATTCTTGATTTTAAATTTAAGGTAAATGTTAAATAAGCAAAAGAATTTCCATCAACAGTTTCAAGTAATGATCAACGAGCGAATAAATTCTGAGTTAAAATTGTTAATTCAATGAAAGATTGAATCTTTAATATATTTTAACTATAAACGTTTTTTTGAGCTGATATCATCCTGGTTTTATCTTTTAGATCCATAGAACTAATTGCATCTATATATAATAATGAGACTCTTATAGAAATAAACGTTTTCAATCATCCTATTTTATTATAAACGAGTCTCATTATTATCTTCTTTGATAAAACCAAAGAGAAAACGTTATTTAAAGAGACGTTTAAATTCTCAGTCAACTTTCTCAAATCGAATAATATTGAACAAGAAAATCGGATCCATTCTTTGAGTTAATACTCCAATGTCTAACAGGGTTATAGAATAAGAATTGATCATTTATTTCGAATATATTGAAGAAGTTTATTGAAAATTGAGATTGATTTCATATTGAAATAAAACCAATAAATAAATCAATGTATTATATTCTAATCATTATTTGGTCGAGTAAACAAAGATTAAAAAAATTCTCTTTGGGTCTTCATTCAATATATTTGAGTTTGTTTTTGTTTGATAGAATATATGAGGATGTAGGGCATGATAGAGCTATTCTTTATTTTATATAATTACTTTTTAAATCGAGAAAATTATATGAAAAGTTCAATGTTCCGACAAAACTTTCAAAAAATGATCATCTATTTACAGAAAACGAAAAAACCAACCGATAAGTTCTTTCGACGATTCTGAGTGACTTGTTTTAATAATAGGAAGGAAAATGTTAACACAACTATGTACTTTATTATGAATAATTTATTGATTTATATTAAATTTATTGACTTGTAGTAGTTATTTATTATATCAATATAACTAGTTCTCTTCTAACAGAAGGAGATGATTTTAATTAACTAATGGACATTTATTGAAGATTGTCGTTATAATTTAGTTTAAATCGAATATATTCTTCTATTATTTACTGATTTTGATTAAATTTATCAATTTAACAAAATCAATTATTAAATCATTAGAAGATTATAATCATCGTTTAAATGATTTACGATATGAAATGAATTATGCATAAAAATCTATTTATGATATATGTGATGATTTAGCTAAATATCGTAGACAATCTATTGGAACAATTGATTTAAATCTAACATGTTCATTATGTGACAGAACACATTTATGTTAGAATATATAAAAATATTTTATATATTTGCGTTTTGTTCATTATTTTCATGGTGATTGTTTATTTCTATATTGACGACGTTTAATCAAACGTAACAGATGAACGTTATTTAGATTAACAAAAAAAATCGTTGATAAACATTAACTAAAAGTGAACAAGTAAATGAAGGAAATAAACAATAATTAGATAAATCTTAAAAAACAAATCCAATAGAAATATATATTAATACTGTTAATCGTTTTCAATAAATAATAGATAGTCGAATAGCACCACTATCGATCTTATATGGAATGTCTAGAACTTGATCATATTCTTCATGAACAATGTCTATTATGTGATCAAACAGCTGGTGATTATTTCGATCAACCACTTTATCCTATTTTATTATTTATTCCATTTACTTATAGTCACTGATTTAATTGATTGATTTCGATTTTAAACGATTTTTTTTTTATATGAATAAATTCTATTTGATGGATTTTTCAATCATTTATTCTTCATTTCAATAAAAGAAGAACTAGATGTTTTTTTTTTTTCTTATAAAGTATTGTTTTAAATATCGATCTAATCTTTTTCTAATGTTAAAGTGTACGTGAGATTTTATTGATTAATTCAATAAGATTTTTCAATATTGTAACGAATGATTATAAAATAAAGTAAATGATTATTTATAAAATGTCGAATGCATGATTAAAATGTGAAAATTGTAGTTTTAACAAAAGTGAGACATTGACAAATTGTTATGATGACTAATGTGTTGAATTAAATCTAGGAAAGAAAACAAGAAGAAGAGAGATTGTTATATTTGAACGAATCGCACGACTTAACAAGTATAATATAGTGAGATATTTTCAAATAGATCTTCTAGTTTTTTTTCTATTTCGATATAGTTTTCTTCTAAATCAACTGATTTCGAACTTGGTAAAACAAGTAAAACAATTCTTATATAGATGACTGAACAGAATGACAAATATAATACCAACGTGAAAAAATCTTCATATTCATCAAATAAAATCAGATAATCTATTGAAGAAATTAAAATTGTCCATTATGGTAACGAATATTGGTTGAACAATAATGTGCAAATTTAATAAAACTTATAGATCAACATGAAGAATAAAAGCTAAATATTTGTTTTCTTTTTATTCTCTAGTCAATGCATTAAAGTTACGCAACATATAATAACAGCTTAATAACGATAGAAACTATTTATTCTAGAAGAAAATCATCTGTGTACTTATGCAAAAAATTGTCTCAGTTTTTTTTTTTGTATTAATATTGTTTGTTGATTTCTTTTCTATAAACGATAATTGTATCGATTGAACTAAAGGTTAATAGTGAATTAATCTGAGAATAAGATAAATCGAAAAATAAACGATCGAACATATCTTGGAAGAGATTCGATTTCATCAGAGATAAATACTAAAAGTAATATTAGTAACAATCATATCGAACGATATGAAATTTTTCACTATTCAACAAAAATTTTTAGTGAACATAAATGACGTCGAATAGTGACAACGTGTCACCGGAACTTTTTTAACGGGCAACAACTTCGTCAAGAGATGTTAATAGCTAATATCTATCTTGAGTACTTGACTTGACAAATTTATTAACTATAGGTGACATCTCAGAGACCTATTCGACAATTTTCCGATGTTGTTCTGGAGGTCTCGTATAAAAACTCTCTGACTAATAACAATATTTATATCTCAGCAACATGATGAATAAAAATGACTAATGAGTAACATTGATCTTTTATCTTACAATCAGATTCTATCGGAATTTGATGTGAGAGATCTTGCTAGAATTACTGATCATAATAATCACATAAAAACTGTAAGCTTTAAGAATGGCAAACAAAATTATGTCATGTAGGAATCGATAGTAGAAAAAAAAAACATTAGAACACGATGAAAACAAACATGTATTCTCTTCATATTACTTTATTCTATAAATGATCGCATTATTGAAAAAAAAAGTTCGCTTCATTTTTTTCCTTCATTCTGTCTAAACGTCTAAAATGTTGTGAAATGGACGGTCGACATCGGACACACATAGAATGATCTTTTAATATATTGACCAGTTCATCCATTGCATTGTCGTATACTTTATGCATTGTACATTATATATATATTTAGTTTAGTTCATCAGTGAGTAAAATGGACAATTCTACTCGTTTGGAAGACTTGTCAAACGAAATATTTTGTGAGATCTTTGATTATTTAAATGCATTAGATCTGTTTTGGACTTTTACTTCTCTTAATTCACGTATTTCATCTATTTTAAAACTAATTCGTCTTCATGTCAATATTGGTTTGGTATCTTCTCGTCGTCAAATTGAATTTCTTTCTCATCATCTGATCTTCCATTCTGATCAAGTTATTTCACTGGATATTTGTGATAAGGCCTACGATCAAACAAATATCATTGAATATATTTTTGAACGGCATGACTTTCCCAATCTTCGTTCGTGCACATTTTGGTCTCTTGATGTATCATCCAAACTGAAAAATGTTCTTAGACAATTGAAGAAACAAACTCAACTTATATCATTTTATATACTTGAACCGTACAATATCCAAAATGAGAATTGGATCAGAAATCATGCACATCTATTTAGCAAAGAGATTTTGTTAGACACACCATCAACATTTCGGCATGTCACTCTTCGAATTTATTATCATTATCCTGAATTAATGAGCAGTACGATTATCAGTACCAACCTTACATATCTCGAATTGATCTTTTACGGAACACATAACATATCGATTTATGCACTAATTCCTATCCTTCGTATACATAGCTCGTTGCGACAAATCTATGTCATTATTCAAAATTCTAAAATGTTACAAGATAATAATATTAAGGGGACCCCCCCCCCTCAGAAAAGCCATTTTTTCGCAAAGTAATCGAAGTCGAGTTTTTATCATAGGAAGATGCAGCGAAGTTTCCTCTTTCAGANCTAGTGAATGATGATCCACATATTAGTATTGATTATGTTACTACCATCTCAGACACAGTTATCATATAAACTATCGTGATAAATACTTGAAAATTTAAGTCAAAAATTTACATAACAAAAAACATCATCAAAAACAAGTAGCATAAATTTGCATTATAAAATTGCGAAATCACATATTCAAGATATTGTTCTCAATCTTTATTATGCTCAAGAGGAAAAAAAGAAAGTTATGGCTCATCTACCATAGTCACCTGATCGTACTCCTTCAGACTTTCGGTTGTTCGGTTGTCTGAAACGCAGCCTTGATACATATTCAGATGATACAAGTTTAGCTGAAGCAATAACCAACGAGCTTAATTTAATAGCTATTCAAGAATACCGAAAGACATTCCAGGAGTGGATTAAAAGGATGAAACTTTGTATTGAACATCGTGTGGACTACTTTGAACATTTACTGTAAAAAGATTAGTAAAATGTTTTTTCTATGAATAAATATTTGAAAGTCCGAGAACTTATTGACTAACCTATGTATATAAAAATATCAAATTCATTAAGTATGCTACAAGATTTTAATCATACAAATCTTGTCTATAAAATGAATAGTGAACAGATTGAATTTTAGAATCAATAGGAATTCATTTAAGAATTGTTTTTTTTTCTGGTGAATATCTGGTGACATCAAATGTGATGTTGCTCACTGTCAAAACATATTCCATCTTCTTATATGATGTAATATCAGAAGATGAAACATCAACTTTCACGTCACTATATCATACAATGAAATAATTTGACGCACTAGCTAAACGAATGCCATTATAGAGCTTCACTCATATTTTCGATTCATTCCACTGTTGCACATCGGTAAACTGAAATTTTAACAATCTTCTTTTTTATGGAAATTTGCATGGTGATTGAACAAAAGTGCTGAAATTTCACACAATCTATCTATCATGTAGCGAAATACCGGTATCGAGAGTTCAGAGATGTGGCGTTAAAAATAAGATCCACATCTCTTTCCGCTTCAAAAAAATTCTATCTGCACCTATTCAACTTTCAAAAAATTTCCTTGCATTCTCGTTATCTGTTTCTGTTCACTATATACTTGCGAAAGTTATTTTACATATTCAAAAAACCTGTGATATGAACGAGAGAAATGTCAAGGTAAATGAGACAATTTTATATTCTGCTTGGATAACGAATTTGGTAACTTGATTCTTGCAGTAGAGATAGAGCCTTGATTTGTACTCTTATGTTTCAGTACATTTTTCTTTCATGCGTAATTTCTTGAATTTGTGATGATGTAAGATTTTTCTGCAAAATTTTCTGCTATCTGCATTTTATTCATTCAAAATATTTATTAAAATTAAAACAAGATCCACATTTGACACTGAATATTTCTAATGAATATAAATTTTTTGTTTTTTCATGAATACGATTATACAAGGAAATTTTTAAAAGAAATAATGAATTGTTTAACCATTATTGATGCTATAACGGTGTATATATGTATAATCATAATTATGTTTATCAAATATGCCTTTGATCTAAAATCCTCCAATCAATTTGTTGACAATCGAAACTCAATTATACTATGCTATCAGACATTTATAGCGCTCCTAATTCCTCTTTCCTGAACTGGTTATTTTTCATTGGTTACATAGACACTGTTTTCTGAATGGTTAAACATACGACTTTTGTTCGTATAAATAAGCGATCCTTTATTCCAGAAAAGGGAAAAAATTATTTGATTGATTAGTTCTTAATCTCGTTGAAGCTGATTTGATTCTATCATGTCATCATCGAAAACTAAAGATTATGATGTTGAAACAATTCTTTCAAAACGAATCGATGGAAAAGGTCAAATTTTCTATTTAATTAAATGGAAAGGTATATTTAAAGAATTATATTAAGTATTTTCTTAAAATTTTAATTTGTGTTTACAGGTTATTCTGCAGCACATAATACATGGGAACCAGAAGATCATGTTACTAATTGTCAAAATTTAATTAAACAATTTGAAGGTGAAGAAGAAAAGAAAAACAAATCGAGAAATTCTAATTCTAATGAATCTCAAGGTCATACAAATACTCGATCAACTCGTTCCAGTGTGTTGACACCAAAGCAATCCATAAATAAGTCTGAAAGATCTACACGTAGTAGTAATCGTAGTTTACCAATGCGTCAACATAATAAACGTGCATCCAATAATGATGATATGTTTACTGGAAATGAGGATGAAAATGATAATGGATTAAGTGAAAAAAAATCATTGAAATCAGTATCATCAAAACGTTCACGTAAGAATACAAGTGATAGTGATTCGACATCATCAATTGATAGTTATGATAGTGATATACTTGATATATCTAAACTTGATCAAATTCTTGATGTTCGTCGAAATAAAAAAACAAATACAGTTGAATATTATATTCAAGTAAAAAAAGCTACAAAACCGTTATGGATAAATTCAACTCGTTTGGCTGAAGATTATAATCAACAAGTTATTGATTTTCTTGAAGAAAAATATGTTTAAAAATACATGAAATAAAAACAAACAATATATATATATATATATAATTTTCGTCTTGATTAGGATTTTGTTTTTTTCTTCTTTATATTATATTATACTCTATATATTATGTTGTGATTGTTTGTGTATGTATATAGATATATATATGTATGCATGTTCTATAAAAGGCATATTGCCTTGATCATTATATAACTCCGTTTATTTTGTGTCACAGATCAGTCATACTTTTCTCTTTTCTTTTTCTTTGTGTTTAATTCATTTTTAACCATTGAAATACATATATAGTTGATTTGGTCACTGTGAATATTATTTTTCTATTTGAATATCGATAAGTGTCACGGTATTTATCAGGTAAGAGGAAAAAAGCATAAAACAAACATGAAAATAATGTACTGTAACTAAAAAGAAGATAATTCAACTTAATTGAAATGTGTATTTTAAAATGATTATAGTAATTCGTTCATATAAAATTTCTATTTTATGTGTATATCTTATATTTTAAATCTGATACTATATATCATTTTAAGATACCTTGCAGGTGTGTTTTTTAGTTGTAATAGGTGACAGTTCGAATAAACTAGTGTGAAATAGATTTAATTGATGAATTGATTGATGTGTACAATTCGTCATAACAAGATAAAATAAATAAGAAAGTATAATGATACTTGTCATCATGCTATTTTCAGCTTCACGGAACAGTTGTTAAATATACTACCATCAACTTGTATAGCATGACGGAAGTTGGCAGCTATATGTTCCTCCACTGTTTTTTATTATCTTTTGTTTTGTTATGACTAGTGAAGCAATATGAAAGCATTAATATAGAGTTTAAATCTTTTCAGCCTTAGTGTAAGAACCCAATGTTGATCAATTTCATAGAAAATATCGTAAAAAATGGTTTGTATTTCGAAGTTTTGATTAACAAGAGTTTGTATTTATGCAGAATTAGCGAATCAGAATTTTCTATGGAAGTGACCCTTGTTAAGTTATTTTTGCTAATACTATAAATATTCAAGGTTTATTTTGATGCTTTTATATTGTGTCACTTGTCACAACAGGAAAAATATAATCATTGAAAAAAGCGCCAAGTTTTTTGGTTTTATAAGACTTAAATTTCAGTTAGGCTAAATATGATAAACATTTTTCTTTTAGTCCAAAAAAAAGAATCATCATAATCTTGTTTAACAAATAACAAAAAAAAAATAGAGAACAAAGTATGAACCAAAAAAAAGGAAAGAAATCATAATGGAAACGAGGACAACGATAATTATCTGAGCTTTCTATTGCCAATTATAATGTTTATAACCGGTTTCACAAAAGAATACAGTACAGAGAGATATAAACTACTGTTTATTATTCCATCTCCTCAGTTTGATCATTTTTGTCGTTGTCATCTAAAAATTAAATATAAAAATTTTAAATAAATAACATATTTAATTAAATTCAATAGATAATAATATTAGTACTCATTTTCCGTCATTCTATTCTTTATTTGATGGTTAAATTGATTACACATATATGATTATTAGACAAAACGAAACTTATATAAAGAGATCTATTAACAAATTTTGAAAATATTTCTAATCTTTAATTCTTTGAGAACTGATTTTTGTCTACAAAAAAAAAAATTGGATTTTCATTTACAAAATCAATTATAGTTAAACATTATTAATCATAATTTTTTCATCTTGACTTAATATAAAGGATGCACAATGTTTATTTTGAAATAACAGAAATAAAATAGGCATTCAAGAAATATAGCAAACGGTAATTCAATAACATATGCGAAGGAAAATTAAGGCAAAAAAAAACTAAAAATGTAATAAAGTATGAAATCTCTGGAGACAACCAAAAGTACAAAAGCCTACATTACAATCTTTCAATATATGACATGAATCAATCCTCTTTCTAGGTCATTGAATAGTGTGTGCGTATCACACAGAACTTCTCTAACGTGTTTTTCTATTTATTGTTTGAAATACAAGAGATAGAAAATGTCGAGTCGGTTGATAAGTTATTGTAGGACATCCTATTGTAGATTTTTGGAGCGTTATAAGTTTCTTTATACTATTAGTTTTATAATGCAAATATTCAATGAATAATGACGAACTACACTGATAAGGAAAACTTTGCCAGTGATAAATCGTGCTTAAACTGGAACAATATTCAACCGATAGACTCTAATTTATACTTTTGAATTTGGATTTGAAACTGTTCTCGCATAAAGGCATCGATTAGACTATCTAGGACTTTTTTCTACAAACTAGTCTAATTGGTGCCTTTATATGGGCACAGTTTCAGATCAAACTTCGAAAATATGATTTCGCTTGAAAACTGAAACCCTGCAGAAAAAGTTCGCTAAACATTAAAGAACTCTCATCAACAGAGTCCCAGCAGCTCGAATCACTCTAAGTTATTTACCTCGTCACTAGACTCTATCGATTGAATATAGTCTGAACTCGAAAGCAATTTATCACTTGAGAACTTTCAGTTGTGAACTAAATATGTGTTTACTATACCTAAACTATTTCATAACATCTATGTATATGACATGTATATTTTAATAAAATCTATACTAAAAATCTCAATTTTAGTGTATCTAAAGGTTTCTTTTCTTAGTCAAATTTCAAAACCTTAAATATACAGACTCGATCTACAAATGATTAAATTTTTTATTTGAGCATACAAACAGATCCTACATTGTATCTTAAGAAATTCTATAAAATGTTTTATTTTAAATTCTATTAAGATTTCATTAAATACTATACCTTGATCATCATGTTGACCTCGTCTATGAACACCAAAGTGTGAACCTCGTAATGTTTGATTAGTTGATGCAAAATGTGCATTATATCCATAAGGATCATCATCTTCATTATGTCCATCTCCATTTTCATTATTCTCATCTTCATTTCCATAATCAATATCTACATATTAAATTAAAATATAGATTAATTATACAATATTAAAAAAAAAAATTATAAAAAACATATTTACCAGAACCAACTTCATCATCTTCAATCATTTCATCAAGTGGATCAGGATGAAGTGCTTGACATTCAGCTATAGTTTGATAAGCAATTTTAAGATCTTCAGATGTAGCCATTACAAATCGATAATTAACAGTACGAATACTATCATATTCAACAGGTGAATCACTTCGTTCCTCATCACCATTACCTTGATGATTTGCTGTACATTAATATATTTATAAAAAAAAACAATCTAAGTTTTTTTTCTTTTATTTATTTTGATCAATAAAATTACCATCATCATCATCTTCATCTTCTTTTGGTTTTTGAACAATAACAACAAGATGTTCTTCAGGATATTTTGGATCATGTGTTACTATTCCATGCATAGTTAATGAGGGATAATCAATCGCTATGCCACGTTGTTCGGTTTCATTGGATGCAATTGCCCATACTAATTGACTAAGAAGTAAAATAAAAATTTAGAAATAAAAACAAAATAATAATAATAAAATTATTTACTTTTCGGCAATACATAAAATTCCTTGACCTAAATATTCATCTTCTAAATAAGCTTTAACTGATGAACATTGTTGACGAATATATTCTGTTGGAAATGAAATAATATTTAAATTAGAAGACATCTACAAAACAAAAAAAGCAAAAATTCTATTTATTAAGACAATACAATAGTACACAAATACAAATGTACTACAATAATAAGAAAGAAGATAGAACAAACAGAATATTATTATAAGAAGATTCAAATGAATTAAATTATTCTCATCACATCTATAGACGAATTTCATGTTATTGCTTATCTGACCAACGAAGGAGACAGAAAGATTTGCTTTTTTTTCTCTTTATATAAATCTTTCAATGAAACCCATTATTTGATGACGATGGTGATGGTGGTAATGCTTTCATTTGCAATTGAGCTACTTGTTCACGTAGAAGTGCAACTTCTTTTTGAAGCTAGAAAAGAAAACAAGTTTTCATTGTAATTATATAATAGAAAAACAAAATTATGAAAGTATCCTTCCTCTAATAAATTTATTTTCGTCAAAAAAAAAATTCTTTTTTATATTAATATACGGGCATGTCACTTCAAATGTCTACATTAAAAATTTTTAAGAGCATTTAAGATTTTAAAGAAGTTATTTTTTGACAATTCTAGCGTCCTCTGAGCTGATATAACCTTACATGTAGTTTCACACACAAATGGCGTCACTTATCGTTAATTATGTCGCCACAAGCACAGTGTGATGCACTATGATGAGCATATACTTGTAATTGATATTCAATGCTTGTGTTGTGTTAGACTAACAATGGAAGTAAAAGAAAGTTTATAAAGCTTCTGTAATATTTTTTTTCAAAACTGATTTTTGTGGTAATGTTTAATATTCGAATGGGTTTTTTAAAAATAAAATTAATTATATAGAACTACGATTTTAATTTTTTCTTTGAAATACTAGGTATTCCTTTGGAAATGGAGAAAGATTTGTTCAAATTAGGCTCTATTTCTATAGAAAATCTATGATGTTATTTTAAGGTTTTAGAAGCTTTGACAATCCATAAATTAAAGAAAGCCATAATTTAAAAAGTCTTTTTCACATCAGAAGAGTGAAACAGTTGTCCTTCAAAATTAACTATACGTAATTCTACACCTTGAAGTATGATGGAAAAATAACTGTTAATACAATTTCAATGAAATAAAAATGTGAAACACCATGTATCTGCTTTGATAGTTACAGGGAGACTGTTTTGTTTATGCTCAACATTTCTAGAAAATCTTGTGTCTTATATCAAAAATTGATTTTGAAGGAGAAAGAAAACCTAAACTTACTCGTGAATTAGTCTGACCCATATGCTCAATTTCTTTAGTTGATTCTGTTGCTTGAGTGAAGAATGCTCGATTTGAATCATTCTAAATAAAAGTTTGGATTGCTTGTTTTTTTTGCTGTTAATAAAAAAAGAATGTTTTAGTTTACGGTTGCTCTTTGTCGATCAAGATCTGATTTAAGTGTTTGATTTTCTGCTTGAAGATGATCAATTCTCTTTTTCATTAATGCAATCATTTTTTCGAGTTCATAAGTAGATCGACCAGATTCACCAATCTTTTAAATGAATAAATATATATATATATATAGAATTTTTGTTTTAAAGTAAAAAAAATAAAATAAAATTTTACTCGTCGAATACCGCCACTCGATGTTGATCGCGGACTTTCACCATTTCTTAAACTTTCATTTTCAGCTTTTAAAAATGTATTAATTTTTTGTAGTTCTTCATTACGTAATCGAACTCTAGATTATAATAATAAAATCTTTTGATTATGTTTTTTTTTATTAGAAAATTTGAAAACTTACTTGCTTAATTCATCTTTTAATTGTTGATTAAATTTAAGTAATTCTTTTTTATGTGTATCTAAATCAGTTATTTGTTGTTGAAATGATTCTACTGTTCGTTTTGTTCGGTCATCCTAAATAAATTATAAACTTTCAAAAAAATATTTGATGCGTCAGGTGTTGAATTTGAAGAAAGAAAATATTTTTCGATAAAGAAAGTCTTTATAGTTTATTTGGAATTCTGTTAGATTCGAATTTTTCTTTTTGATGGCTAAATTACGCTGTATTACGAACTATATGTTTTGTGGTATTAAATAGAAGGTTTTTGTGTACGTGTGGAATCTACTTTGAAATGTAAACTGCCTATTGTGGTCTTAGAAACTTCATTAGCATGAAAAACTATTTCAAAGAAACACTCTGTTACAATTTGATGGCTGAATTTTTCAAAACAAGTCACTGTTTCTGACTTCACAAGCTTCACTCAAGTCTCTGTACAACCCATATATCTTTATGTATTCAAAAAGTTGACAATGTGAGCTCTCTAACTAGATAGAGACGCCAAAATCAAAATTTTTGACCCAATAGCCATTACTCCTTAGGAAACTATCTGAAATGATACCGGCTGTTTAAGCTCATGTTGGGTTCACAAGGAGGTCTCGGCAAGACCAAAGAAATCTTAAAAGGGTTCGTATAAAGAGATTGAATGACTAGTACAATATTCTAAAAGTTTCAGTCGAGAAGAAAGTTCCTTTGTCAAAGTATTGCATTTTCAACTAATGTGCAGTTTTTGTGGCATACCTGAGGAAAAGAACCACTTTTTTTTTGAAATTCAATGTCTTGACAAAGGAACATTCTTTTCGGCTGAAAATTTCAGAATATTCTGCCAGTAATTCGACCCATTGGCAGGAGAAGTTTCAGACTAAAATACCGTTATTTGATTTTTCGGTCAATACCTAAAGGCTACATCGAAAATTCAATTAACTGGTCATAACTCGCTTCCGGAGGCTCATGGACATGAACCCTTTTAAGATTTTTCAAGTCTGACTGAGACTTTCTTGTGAATCCAATATGAGCTGAAACGACGGGTATCGATTTAGGTAGTTTTCTTATGAATAATAATGAGGGGGATCAGTCGTTTTTGGTTCTGGTCTTGATCAGAAAATAATTTTCGGTTCTGGTTTCGTTCTTTGCAACACATGTACTATGAAAAATACAGTGTCATCTTGTAGAAGTGTCAATGCACTCGAGACACCTTGTATGACCCGAATGACACTTGGTATCTTCTCTCTTGGAGCTTCATAGGTTTTCTTTTTTTATCTATTAATACTTCGTCTATTCTGCACGTTTGTGTTTAATAACTCTGTTGTTTACGAAAAAATGGACCAATTTTACTATCAAATTTGTTACAGCAAATATTGAAGTGATCGTTACTCAATAATTTTTGCATTAACTTTTAGAATATATGAGTCGTAAGTATGAGATTTTACGCAAATTTTACACAATCATAAAAGACATCACTCCCAATGAAAAAGTATTGGTATCGATCCCTGTGAAACGGGGACCGTCTCTCCCGTATGTGTACTCATGGGTGAAGGATGGATCTCAGATGAATTTATCATCGGTATATTTGAGGTCAATACTTTGTGTATACTACTCACCCTAGTTTCATCCATAGGTCGTTCAGCTGTTTTTGTTTTGCGAAGTTTATCTTCGAGTAGACGAACTTGACGTCGTAATGATTCGATTGTATCTTCACCCTATTAAATATATTCAAAAATATTATATTCTTTCTTAAATCTAAGTAGTTTCTACAACTTGGCCTTGTTGAAGTTGTTGACCAGTCATTCTTCGTTGGGCATTATCTGAGAGTGCTGCATTTTGTTGATGAAGTTTAGTTAATTTCTTCTCATTTTGAGCTATTATTGAAATAAATTATAATACACTCCTAATACAAATATAGGCAATTTACCTAATTTTCCTCGAGCATCAGTTGCTTGATCCGTATATTGTTGTGCTAAAGCTTTTTGTGTTTTTAATTCTCGTTTTAAATTTTGTATTTGTCCTTCATAATCATCAATTATTTCTTGTAATTGTGCTGTTTTATTTGTAATTAATGCTTGTATAGAAAGATTTTGTTTGTCTTCTTCATTCATAGCTTTTAGATTTCCTTCAGCTATTTTAACCATATCACTACGAATATCAGCTAAAGCACGTATGAATTCTTGACGTTTTTCTTCTTTTAATGATGGTTGTTCACGTTGATTTGCTCCAGTTGTTAGATTTTTTGTTGCTTTGTTAGGTGAATATTTTTGTGCATTCTCATAATCATTCATCTGTCCAAGCTTGACTTGTTGATCTTGTAATTGTGAACGATGAAGTTCTATTTCACGATTAAGTTCATTCACAATTTTTTCATAACTGGTTTTAACGCTGCAAAAGACAAATATCTTGCAAATATCAAGAAAAAAAAGGGTCTATGCGAATTAGATACTCAATAAATGTGAATGAAAACGCTGAGTTACGGAAGATTTCTCATTTCTTTTCTCAAATATATTTTTCCTTTTTTTTTTTCATAGAAGATTTCTCAACTTTTTTTGTAGAAATGATTTTATTTTATAGAGCAAAATGAAATGCCTCGATTCTTTTCGTGACGTTTCTTCATTGAGCTGTGTTCAATTTACACAAGACTCACAAAGTATTTTCTCTTATTTTTATGAAGAGTTTCAATGATTTCGTCGTGTTTGACGGTATATTAAATAAAAATATTTCCAAAGAAGCTTTGAATGGATACTAGAAAACTGATTTTGGAGGTCTTGGTTTTCCAGACATCTTTATTCAAGAAGTTTTATTGAAGTTTTTAGGTACACCAATTCGAAGTGAGAGTCTTTTCAACAACTCAAGTGTTTTTTTCACATGCTTCCTAAGTATACCATCGAGAGGAAAACTTAAAAATGCAGCTGCTCTAAACTTAGGTCTACCATTATACTTAGCCAGTTCATCATACGAGGAAACATATTCAACTGGTGAATTGTTATGTTCATTATACTTAAAGTTTTACTAAGAGTAAGTTATGTATGAAGAGTTCAAAACAATGAGTTTTTTAATTAAATTTCGCCTATTGATAGATTTAGTAGTTATAAGATAGTCCTGAAAATTTCAACAAAAATAAGCACATCTTACTCGAAATATTTGATTTCAAAAACAAAAAACTTTTAGCATACTGTCTTTGAGCCCGAAATATGAAATTCACAAATTCCATATAAACTAGCAGATAATTTAACTTTTATTTTTCTTATTTAATGTCCTTTAAAGTTTGGAATAAGTGAAATAATCAAATGTTTACACAATGAAAGATTTATTTTCTTATTAATAATGATTTACATTACTGGAAAAAATCAAGATGTTTTTTTAAAAATTATTTTCGATGTGATTCAATTGTTATGAATTCTTTAATTAATAAAACTAAATAGAACTTTGATTAGTGTATAATAAAAAAATTCATTTTCTTTCTTTTTATCAAATAGTCATACTATCGTTCTTATGTTATGATGACAAAAAAAAATGTTCAACTATAATCAATATGGATGAAACAATAAATAATCATAAAAATATTTTTCACAAATTGAAACAGTTACAGATAGATACTGAAGCACTAATTATGTTAAGAAAAAAAAAGATATTCCCTCACTATTACCAGTGCACACATTAGTACCTTAATTGTACACTCTTTCCTTTGCTTGCTTTTCTCTTTGATCTTAAATTTTCAGCCAGTGTTGTTCGTAATGCAAATCTTTTATTTTTGTCTGCGTAACTATGAATGACAGCAGCATTAAAATGACTGATTTATACGTGTTGTTGCTATAGAAATATACTCAATGACCTTTAAGACCAGTTGCTAAGGCCTGTAGTGGAGAAAGAAAGATGCGTAGGTATTTTCTTTGAAATTGTTTTTGAATTCTACAAAACAACCATTTACCATAGAAGGACATAATAATCCAGTCTATTTAGATATTGAATAACTCGAAAAAGACATTCTTATTTTCGTTGAGCCTTTCAAGGCTATCGAATGACTATTAAATCTATCGATAGGCAAGCTTTTAGATCAAAGCTCTTTTGTTTTGGCTTCTTCAGAAATGCCTTGTTCTCAATAAAAACTCTAGACTATTACATAATATGAAGTCGAACGGTGTTCGACACTTGAATATGATCCTTTGTTCGTTATGAATTCTTATCATATCAAAACTTTTTGAATTCATAAGTATTCGTTCGATGTTGAATATAAGAAGAAAAATTATTTATTATACTTTTCTCGATCATGTTTAAATTGTTCCATTTTTTGTGTTAATCGTGCTTTCCATGTTTCAGCTTCACGACGTGCTTCACGTAATTTTTCATTTAAATGTGCAATTGTATTTTCTTGTACAGCAACATTTTCTTCAAGTTCGCGTAAACGCGCTACCTATAAATATACGAAATACAAAGAAAAAGTTTAAGATAAATTCTTCAAAAAATAAAATCGACCTCAAATGACGAAGGTGAACCTTGAAAAAGAGCTGGATTTCCTCCTCGTTCAACAAATTCTTTAAAACGAATAAAATCTAAATCACGTTTATTTTGTAACTGTTCATTGAGTAATTGAATTTCTTCTTCATGTTGTCGTGTTTGTTTATTTAAATCATCTCGTGCTTCTTTAAGCATTTCTTGATATTTACGAATACTTTCTTCTTTTTGTATAATACGAGCCTAGACAAAAAGAAAAAGAAATCAAATAGAAGATAAATTAATTTTAATAAAAATTAATTTTTATATACTTGAAGACTATCAATTGTTGATTGTGCTGCTCGAACAGCAGCTAAACGTGAAAAGTCATCAGGTCGTGTCATAACATCAGAAATAAGTTTATCTGAATCAAGAATAGTTGTTGTTGGTAAACGAAGTCGAAGTTCATGAATAATTTTATCACGAGCTAATATAGCATCTTCCATTTCACGAACTTTTTCAATATGTTCAGCAGTTTTCTATATGAAAAAAAAGTCTATTAGAAGGGAAAAAAAAATAAAGGACTTCGCCAGATTTGATAATCTATCTCGAACCAGAATGTCATGAATATGGTTTTGCAAAGCGATTTGTGGCACATAGAAAGGTATAGAAGAAATCAAGTTTACCTCAAATTTTGATGTGCTAAGAATTCATGTACTTTTTATAATGCTTGAGAAATATATATGCTACTACTCATAGACACTATGGTTCCAAATATCTTCTACGATAAAATTACACAAATCTTATATTTAAACTTAAAACAACACAGTTATAGGTGTTCTTCAACTTTCTATAATCAATACTTACTTTGGTTGCTTTCTTCTCATTGGAAAATGGTCTGTTTTCTTAGATCTAAGTTATTTGTTGACTATATGATATGTCAGTATGTTCAAGTCTGTGCCACAGAACAAATGAGTACCAATGTGAATTTTTCTCTAGAATCGCACACTATCAAGCTTTATGTGCTTTACACACAAGATCTTTCGAAACAATAGGGACTCATTATCAAATTGCAAGATTGTTCTCTAAAATGAGTCTATCATCCTATATGGAAAGGGGTCGGTATATTGACGAAGTTTTAACATTACTCAACAATCCTATTGAAAATTTTTATATAACAATAATCAGCACAGCATCCTTGACGAACCGATATAAATAATTTCTTTATGTACGGAAACAATTTTTTAGCCTCCAGATCTTCGGAAGAGTGTTCAGAGATTGGATTGCAGGAAGGAAGTCTGTTAATTTTGTTATCTCTCTTTTTGATTTTTTATTGCAAATATTCAGGCTTGATTTTTGGACGAAACTACAAGAATCTATAAATATATCATGATCATTTCAAATTTTTTTCCCCATGTACTCCTACTCTTCTCCAGGCATCTGGAGATCAATAAGCTTATTTCGTATCTGTAAGAGTTATTTATATCAGTTCATCTGGGATTCTGTGCTAACGATTGGTGCATAATAATTTTTAATATGACTATTGAGTATTGTAAAAATATTGTCAATATATCGCTACGTTCGTTTAAAAAAAGGAACTCTTCTAGGGAACAATCTTGCAAGTTGACAATGAACATCTGCCGTTGTGAAAGATACTATGTGTGAAACATATAGAGCTTGCTAGTGTGCAACTTTTGAAAAAGTTACACGTTGGCACTTACTTTTTCTGTAACGCAGAGTTGAACACACTGAAATATCACATAGTCAACAAATAACGTCAACATGAGAAAACAAACCATTTTCAAGTATGGAGAAAGCAACAAGGGTGTCTTTTGATTATAAAAAATTGAAGAGCACCTATAACTGTACCGAATTGAGTATAAAGCATAATCTCCATAAGTTAATCTTAGAGCATCCCGCAGACCCCTGCGTGTTTGAGTACCATATAAATTCCTCAAAGATTATTATTGGTATATGTTCCCCCGAGCACATCAATATTTGAGAAAAACTTGGTTTCTTATTAACCATTTGATGCGTCACAAATTGCTTTGCAAAATCATATATCTATGGCATCCTGGTTCAAGATAGGTCACCAAATTGGGCAGGATCTCTTAACTTACCTTTTCAACAAGTTGATGTTGTACTTTAGCTTCCATTAATAGATGTATATTTTCACGAATAATTCGTAAAGCTTGTTCTAATTGATGAGCCACAGGTAATGATGGATCAGGATAATTACCGATAGCTTCTTCGAACTAAATTAAAAGAATACTTCATTAAAAGAAAAAGAAAAAAAAATGCTTGATGTTACCCGTTTTGCTGCATCAGCAATATCATTTTGTTGTTTTTCAAGTTGATCTATTTTTCTTTCCATTTCTAATTCTCGATGTTCCCAAATTAATTGTCGCTCTTCGATTTCCTATTTAATATTATTTGAACATTTTGTTACTTTTTTTTTAAGAAATAAAATTATAAATAAATACCTTTTCAAATTTTACATTTTGTTCTTCGAGTTCAGTTACATTTATTTCAAGTTGTTGTACTACTTTATTCAAATGTAAGTTCTATGTAAATTAAAATAAAATGTCATGATTTCTCTAATATTTATATTCTATTAAAAGTATTTTCAGTAAGTTTATCGATGTTTAATTGATCATGAAAATGAGGTTGTCAAAAAAGAAAGAACCCATCAATAGATACAATAGCTCATTAAATTATTCGACCAGATTTATTTTCAATTTTTTTACCATGGCTGTAAACTCTAATAAGATTCCAAATAGTGATTTATGTAGAGAATTTTATTTCGAACAAGAATTTTTGAAGATGAAAAAGATTGCTAATTTTTCATGGTAGCTTCTAAAATTTTTCTATAAAATCAAAGAATCAATCATATATTTGGTAAAAAAAGTCGTGCAAAATGGTGTAGGCAGTTCTTTCCAAATTAGAAAGTTTAATGCAAAAAAAACCGATGTCATTCATCATAATTCTCTTTGTAGCACTTCAAATGCAGTAGTCACAAGAAGTCCTGCTACTGGATGCAAAGTACAGGGTTGGAAATAATATTTTGATAGGGGGTAACGCAATAATTTCATACAGGTTATATAATGAATTTTATACCACATGAAAGCTCGTGAAAAATGGAATTTAGGTGTNTGAAATACATTTTTTTTCTTATGCAACTCGACGATCTCTATCCAGCCGTCATGAAAAGAGAAGAATAAATCATGTGAAAATTGTGACTTATAGGTATCTTACACATATTGTAAATATGTAAAAAATTCATTATCTCGCTCAATGCACACCATGGACAGCATATATTTTAAATTTGTTAGTTTGACAATGAGAGTTTTAATTTGATCTGAGCATGTCTAATGTTTCTTTCCAGTCGTACAAAACCTTTCGTTGCAAGCGATCGAATTTTTAATAACATGTCTATTTTCTAAAGACTTCAGATTTTCTGAAAACTCGTATTTTTGAATTTTTTACTTGAAACTTTACGCATATAGAGAATTCGACTAGATTAGCTTACATAAAAAAGTTCAGAAGTTTTGAATGAAATTTCTTCGAAATATAAGACTTTCAAGATATAGACCTTTTTCCATGGATAATGTATATCTCCTATGCTGAAAGAAAATCTGCTAAATAGTTTGAAAAAATTCTTTCAAGGCTCATGATATGTACTGTATTACTCCTATTTTCTTCTATTTTCATGAGACACGATCTAAGAGATGTCTTAAAGTATATGCAGCAGAAATATGTATCCTTCTCCTACAGTGTGCATTTTTTACATTGCACGCGATTATGTGACTTTTTTGCTCGGAAATGAATTTCCCTGATCAAAAATGATTGAGTATGACGCAGAAAAGCATTGGAAGAAAAAAAAACATTTTGAGGTAAAAGATGTTTCTCAATGAAAAATACCTGAGGAGGGCACTTGCCCTTAGTGTTTTTCAAGAATATTTTTTTCTGCAAAATTATTCTGTGTTATGTGTCATTCGATACAGTTTAATGCGCTCATTCCGAATATGTTAATTTTGTCGATTAAATGTTTTTTTTTCACAGTTAGAAATACTGAAAAAGTACCTGAAAAATCAACGGTTTTAAGACAGCTCACTGTTTAGTCCACGAATGTTTGCGCTAACAGGAATTCAAGATAGTAGATAAAAGAACCTTCTGGTAAAATTCGCAAAAATTTCGAAAGTTAGTTGTGGTTGGATTCCTCATTTTGAGGGACTAGTTCTTTACTCGACACTATAGAAAAAAAAAATTTCTCAGAAATTAAATGTACGAATAAAAAAATATTTTTTACTGTTCTACAAAGTTCGACTTTGAGATTCAGAAAATGTATTTGATTAGTCTGTCGAACAGTTTAATTTTATCTGTGATATCATGATTTTCGGGCTGATTTTTGGTCAATCGATTTTTCAGTTTCTTTGAGGATTGTAACGAAGTTATTTATACCATTAGATAGACTATATTTCAAAGTATATTTAAATCTTGAAAAAGGGTAATTTTCATTTTTAATCAAATCTTCGCCTAGATGTACATTGTGCCCCTTCCTCAAATCGTGACACCTTAGCGAAATTCCGCCTTCTCTCCTCGCGTCACAGATCATGACATACATTATGGTTATACGATCAAAGACTGTATATGAACTACTTCCTTATTGCATGTCTAGTAAATTAAGTAAAAGTATAGCGAAGAAATGTGTCCAAAAATAAATTGAACAAAATAGTTTCCTAATGATTTGAAACAACAGCTACAGATTATTTCACATTTTAATCCTGAAGGAATTACATTGACAGCTTTTACGCTATTGTTTGAATAAATAAGAGATTAAGTTTATTTTTATTTTTTCAAGCATGTACTCTGAAGGATTCTGACTAGAAAGAAAAACGTTTAATATGCATCAAAAAGTAAATAACTTTCTAGATGTATACAAATTAAAATGAAAAGACATATTCTTCTTTCAATAAATATTAAAATATTTAATTTTTACATAATATAAATCTTACCATTGGAAAATTTATTACTATTATTTTTTAGAATTAATTCCATTGATTTAAGTTGCATAAGTAGATCATAAACTTTTGTTCTCCAACAATTAAGAAGTGATTGTCTTTTTTCGTTATTATTTAATGTTGGTTGTTCAAGTTTTTCTTCTTGTAAAGTCAATACATCATTCATTGATGTTAATCTACAAAATCAATAGTATTCTTTAATAAATATTGATATTATTGATAAATTTAACCTTAAATTTAATAAACGCATTTCTTCATTTAATGAAACATTTTCTTTTTCACTTTGTTCAAGTTGTTGAGATAATTTATTATTAATATTATCTGTTGATGTTGATAATTTTTGTGATGATAATAATTGTTCATAATAAAGTTTTTCTTTTCGAACTTTTTGTAATTCTGCTGAACGTATTTCAAATTCATTTAATTGTGCTTTCCATGATAATTCTTTTGTACGTAAAGTTTGTTCAAGTCCTTTAATTGCAATTAAACAACGAGACTTTTCACGTTCAAGTTCATTACGTAAACGTTCAATTTCAGTTGCTTGTTGTTGAATTATATCTTCAAGAGTTTCTTGTACTATATTTGAACGACGAGGTAAATTTATCAATGCTGGTGCGCGTTCAAGTAAATCTTTATAAAAATAAAAGAATATTTCTTCAAATGATAAAAAAATTTTCTTGTTTTTTTTTTTTCCTACCTCGTCCAGATGTTTTAAGAGCTTCATTATTTGTTCTTAATCTACCAATTTCATCTTGTAATTGTTCAAGTTGTTCATGAACTGTTGTTGTTGTTGTTGTTGACGTTTGATTTTCTTTATCATTATTTAAATACAATGATGATGTTGATTGAAATGATGATGTCGATTGAAATGCTGATGGTGGTAACAAAAGCATATTACTACTTGGCGTACTTGTCATGATAGGATTTTAAAAAATTTCAATTTATTTGTCAATAAATAACAAGACATCTAGAATAGTATAAGAAAAAAAAAAAAGAACGAAATCGAAACAATAACGAACTTTTTTCAAATGAGAGTTAAGCAAACAAAACAAGAAAAGGAATAGTAATAAGTCAAGGCCTGTTACAAAATATATATATATATATATATTTATATGTTGGTATCTTTTGATTGGGAATCTTTTGTTTTTGATAATAATGGTAAAAGTGATGGATTAAATAGTGTATACGATGACAATTATCTCTGATGCTTAAGATCGGAATAAAAATCTAACTTGTATATGTTCAACAATTGGCCATCTATATGATGAAAAATTTGAACAAGAAAGGAAGAGAACAAGCAGATTGGTTGCTATTCTCTTTATCGTCATTCATATGAACTTATAGCTCCCGTTGCTAAGAAGAGAAAAACAGCTTCATTTCTACTATGATAGGTAGAAGATTATAGATTATAAACAACGAAAGAAACAATTTTTATATGTATAGTAATAAATTACCTGTTGTTGATTTTTGTATTCAACTAGAAAAAACAATTTTTTGACTTTTTGCAAATAAATTAGTCAATGTAACGCTTCGTGATATCTTACTACGACTACGACTACTCTCTTTTCTTATTCTGTATGCGGGCATCAGTTAAAGATTTGCTTCACCTTTCCTATCGGTGCTGTTGTTACTTGCAGAAAAAGAGAAGAATGAAATTTGCTTTTGTCGTTCTGTCGCCACTTATTTCTTTTTTTTTTTTCTTCTTTTCTTTCTTCTATTTTTCCACATGTCGATGTAAATGGGGTTATAAAGAACAATAAAAGAAAGAATTACGCTTTTTCTATCTTTGTGTTGTTGTTTTTTTTTTTCAGACAGATGTTACTTGAAATTTTATTTGGCAGCCAAACGGGTACAGCTGAAGATGTTAGTGAACGTTTTTCATGTATGGCTCGGTCAACAGGTGTTGAGTGTCGTGTTCGATCATTGAATTCAATTCAATCAATTGAAGATCTTGGAACATTTATTCTTTTTATTGTATCAACAACTGGTGATGGTGAAGAACCTGAAAATATGCGTCAATTTTGGCGAATAATTATGAAAAAATCCTTATCATCAATACCATCGATTTTATCACATATTCATTATGGTTTAATTGGTTTAGGTGATTCAACATATCCAAAATTTAATTTTGTTGCAAAAAAATTATCTAAACGATTGGAACAATTAGGTGCACAAGCCATATGTGATAAAGTTCTTGCTGATGAACAACATCCACATGGTACGCCTTTTTCAAGGTAGAATAGATGTAATCCATTCAATGATTATTGTTTTTTTTTTTTTAAATATTATTATAGGAATTGATGGTTGCATTGATCAGACATTTACAGGAATATTTTGGAAAACATTTGGTGATCTTATTGGTAGAGAACTAAAACCACGTATGGATCAACGTTTACCAAGTAAATATCAAATTCAATGGATCGATAATAATGAAAAAGAATTGTCAAGGTATTATTTTCTTTTATTCTCTATAAAATTTTTCATTTTTTTTTAATTAAAATTAGTTCACAAATATCAATCAATAGTCCTAAAATTCCACCTGGTTATACATCCGTTCCTCTTGTTTCCAGTACACGTGTAACATCATTAGATCATTGGCAAGATGTACGTTTACTTGAATTTGATACAGATCTTTCATATAAATGTGGAGATGTTGCTGTTATTCTTCCTCAATGTCCTTTACCATCTGTTCATCTTCTTGCAAATCTTCTTAATATAGAAAATAAACTTCATAATCATTTTATTGCTTCAAATGAAACATCCTCTTTATCAATGACTGTATTAGAATTATTTCGTGATTATTTACATATAACACATATACCATCACGATCATTTTTTGAAAAATTAGTATGGTTTTCTGATGATGAACGAGAACGTGAACGTTTATTAGAATTTTTACAACCAGAAAATATCGATGATCTTTATACATATTGTCATCGACCACGACGTACAAGTGTTGAAGTTTTACAAGATTTTCGTCATACAACATCACGTATACCATTTAATTATGTATTTGATCTTTTTTCACCAATACGTCCACGTTCATTTTCAATTGCATCAAGTCCTAAAATTCATTCAAATCGAATACAATTGTTAGTTGCTGTTGTTCGTTATAAAACTATTATTGCACTTTATCGTGAAGGTTTATGTAGTAATTATTTATGTCGTTTACAACCTAATGAAAATATTTTAATGCGTATATCATCATCATTTAATTTAATTAATGATGATCGACCAGCAATTATGATTGGACCTGGTACAGGTGTTGCACCATTTCGTGGTTGGATACTTGAAAGAAGTTTAAATGATCAATTATTAAATATGTTATTTTTTGGTTGTCGTTATCGAACAAAAGATGCATATATTGAAAATGATCTTTTAAAAGATACAATTAATCTTATTTATATTCCAGCATATTCACGTGATCAAGAAGATAAAATTTATGTTCAACATAAAATAATTGAATATGGACATGTAGTATGGGAATGGATTGAACATAAGCAAGCACGAGTTTATCTTGCTGGAAATGCTAAACAAGTACCTGAACAAGTAGCGGATGCATTAAAAAATGTTTTTATCAAATTCGGACATATGACAAATGATCAAGCCGATATTTATTTACGTGAAATGGAACGTACAAAACAATTTCAAAGAGAAACATGGTCTTAAAAATTCTTCTTTTTTTTTGTTTCTGCTTTATTATCCTGTTTTAAATAAAAAAGAATGAAATAAAGAAAAAAAAAAGGTGTTCTTGTCACAAATACACAAAAAAAAAAAGAAAATACAGGGTCTATGGAAATACAAAAAGAAAAAAAAACCGATTGACTAATCACGTTCACGCACAATCGACATCTAAGGATTTGTTTGAAATAAAGAAAACAAAATAGATTGACTTTTTATTTCTAGTTGTTTTTATCATAAAATTGGAAACTTATGTTTATTATTGTATTAGTTTGTGCGTTCACCAGAGATGAGTTTCTCGTACTTCTGATATTATTTGATTGGCTTTATGCAATGCCTAGAAAATAGAAATTCGATTATAAATTATAGAACAAAAAACAAAAAAATAATAATAATTATACTTCAAGCATTTCTTGTGCATCTTTACGTCTTTGAGCAATATGACCAGACTCATCAAGTAATTCATCATGCTCATGTGTTGATGTTTTATATAGTGATGCAACAAGTTCACTTTGTAATTGATCTTGTACATAATTAACAAGAAAATGCATGATGGCTTTAGGTACACTATCTTGAATATTTTTACGAACAATTAAAAAATAAGAACGAATTAATTTTTCTATAAATTAAATAACAAATATATATATATATATATATATGATATTGAAAAAAATCTTTAATTCTTTACCAATGACTTCACAATCACGTTGTTCACGTGGGGCAAGTTTTCGAGCATTGATTGTTGTCTAAATAAATATTTGAATTGAACTTAAAAGAATCAAATTTCTATTTAATGTTGAAAATACAGATGATCAGAATTTCGTCAGTAGGCGAAACTTTAGGGAAGGTAAAGTGGACTTTCTCAAGCTGCGACGAAATAATTTTAGTATAAAATGCATATGAGGACTGAAGCCAATATTGTTCGAATATATATCACAGCTTACACTGATCAATGTAGTCGATAGGAACTTTTTTTAATCCATATTGGATTCATAGTCAAATTGGCAAAATTGCAAACCTCCGAAAATAGAAAGAACAAAAAAGATGCTAATTACTCCATCATTCTTATTGAAATATGAAGAACACTCGATCCTATTCGTTAGCAGAAGTTTTGTTCGCACCTAATATTTGGCACAAAGGCGTTTGCAAACATGTTACACTCTGTTGTACTATATTGCCGACTTCTAAAGCAAGAAAATTTCTTTTTTGTTAGAAAAAACAATGTTAGGATTGCAAAATTTGTGCGTGAAATAGTTTTCTAGAATAACCCTGACGAGAAGAAAAATTCTAAAATCAAACATGTTTAAAAAATTTCTTGTAACATTTTTTCAACATGAAGAGTCTGTATTTCTGAATGAATGAATCAAAATAAAAACAAAAATACGTCAAGAACGCTAATAATATCAGCTTTGGAATGTTTGCTAAAATTTGTCCTTAACTCTTTAATTAAAAGAAAAGGCTCGAAAACTTATTCCAAGAAGACATAAGGTGGTTTTTCTTAAGGTTTGTCTCGAAGTAGTTAGCACAAAGTCAACAACATTTGTCTGCATTAATGATTAATATAAAACTTACTCCGTCACCAATAGGTGCCATTGATGTTATTGTTGCTGAAGTACTATGAATAGCATTCGACATATACGGAGATGATTGGTCACCATTAACTAGGAATTCATTATCAATACTATCGGTTAGATGTTGTTGAACTAATGCTCGACTATATGAAGTTATTTTTCCCAATGTTGAGTCGTCATTAGTCTATAAAAAATGAAGATGATCGAAGACATTAAAAAATGCGTTTATATATATTATTCTAACCAACCCGATTTTCTTTTCCTCGAGAAATATCACGTTGAGGTTTGTTCTGTGAATGTTGTGGTTGATTTGAACTTGTGGCTGCTGCTGTTGTTGTTGTTGTTGTTGTTGTTGTTGCAATATAATCACCACCTGTTAGAGCTTTATGAATAAGACCAGCTTCATGAAAATCTGGATGTTTTGTATTAATATATGCCAATTCAATACCCACAAGATTTTCAACCATTCGATTTGTTTCCGGTAAACGACGACGTAATAAATGTGTGACAACATCAACAATTTTTTCATGTAAACGAGGAAATCGAATAAATTCTTGCTAAAAAATTCATTTAAAATAATTAAAAAGTAAAAAAACAAAGTGAAGCATGTTAGCAAAACTCCTTTGAGACTAAAATGTGGAATTCACATATTCAATATAAGCTTTTATTTTTATGTAATGAAACATCTTTGGAGCAATCAAAAGTCTATACAATGAAAGATTTATTTGCTTATTAATTACGATCAATATTTACTAATAAAATATTAAAATTTGGAATTGTTTCACATATGACAAAAGTGTTATGAACTCTTTCGTATATAAAACTAAATAGAACATTAATTAATTTATAATAAAGAATTTATTTTCTTTTTCATCAAATAGCAACACAAGAAAAGGTGAACGAAAAGATTTTAGATACGATGTTTATTCACCTTTAACCCGTTAACAATTATTTCCGACGAGTCAAAAGCTATGAGTTTTATTCTTCTCGATTATGGAATTAGAATTTTTCTTGCAGAATAGCGAAATAAACTTTAAAAAGCCCAAAAAATTAGTTTGAATGGAATTTGTGGGTCAATGTTTCTGCTGAATATATTCGTTCATTTGGATCTTCTTGAAAGCATTTCAAACTAGCTAAAAACTATAGATGATGAACAAAATTTCAATATAGGCTTAGAAATATTGTATGCATTTTCATTCAAGAGTAATGAGAAACTTTCGTAAAATCTGAAAAATTATTTTTAATAATGAGTCAACACATTTTTTGTATACTCTATAAGTCTTTTTTCGAACAATGTGCAAAAATTATCGGAGTCAGTCATTTTGTAGGATAGTTTCTGATCTGCAAATTGATATATAAATAAAGGTTCCAAGTTTTAGTTGCAAATCGCAATAGTGAAAATACCACGATTTTCTGCTGAAACTAATTAGTTGACCTTTTCAAACATTATTTCACTATTCATGAATAAAAGCTAAGAGTATAAAAATTCTGATTCTGCCTCTTAGCTTTGATACTTTTCTAGTGATTGAAAAGTAAACAACTATCTTTTGTCAAAAACATTTTCGATCATACATATTTTTATGATATAACGAAGAAGAAAACTATACGACAACAGCTAAAATACGATAAGAAAGAAAAAAAAAGAATTCAATTTGTTCCTTTATCTATATTAAATGACTGTTTCATATCAAATAAATATTTTAAACGAATTAATCAAATAAAATGTCAGCACTGTTTATATTCAACATATACGTGCTATACACTTTAACTATTGCCAACAATATAAATGGTAATCTAACACAAACTTATCTACTATATTTAATATTTTGTCAATTTAGAAATATTTTAATTTTTATTATCAAATATATCTTTAATAATCAACTTGTCTTTTTCATCATAATTAATCTAATAAGTGTTAGCAAAGATCAAATATAATCCAGATCAATCAGTAGGAATCATTGTAAATGACCTTTTTTTTGTACTGTATTATATCGTTATAATACACCCAGTATTACTGGTCGTATACAATACTGTATTTTCACCGTAAAACGTTGTAAAGATGTCGTAATGTTGCCGTATGCTATTATACATACAGCCATATTACTTAGCCTGTATTTACGGAGAAATACGACATGTTAATAGACTTGTATTTCTCCATGTACACTGTCGTAGACATCATTGAGAATTCTCAAAAGTATTCACCATAGAACTACATGAGAGTGTTCACTACAAGAGATTTTACTATATTTTTAGTTTATGCATAAATAAAACCTGAATCCCAATATAAATTGCTTTCTCTTTCTCATATCCAAAAGTATCACTTGATGGTTCAAAACAATACATATATAAATTATAATACAACCTTCTTTATCGAACTAATCTTTAAATACACGTGATTGTCTTCATTAATTTAAATAAGTAGAAGTAACGTACAATCTTATGAAACTCTCTTTTGATGAAAATGCATTCGCATAAAACTCACAAAACAACCATTCTTAAAACTACATATTGTTATGTCTATTTTGGCACATTAAACATTTTCTCACTATTATTAATGCATATATTATTACCTTAATTCTACACTCTTTCGTTTGTTTGCTTCTCTCTTTGATCTTAACATTTCAACCAATGTTGTACATCATAAAAATGTCCTATTTTTGCCTGTATAACTACGATTCACAGTCATATTAAAATCATTGATTTATATCTGTGATTGCTATGAAAATATTTCCAATGACTTTTTATTCCATAACTTGCTATAAGACAAAAAAAAAATGAAATTACCTGAGCACCACAGTGTTGTATAATTCGTTGTAATTCTTCATGTACGAGTTCAACACATCGTAAACCGGGATCTTCTAAGCGTTTGATTTGTCGTTTAACAAGCAATTCAAATGAAACTTCAGGTACAAATAAAGCAGGTCTTGGACCCTATACAAAACACAATAATTATCATTAGAAATTTTAAAATAAAAAGCAAAAATAAATAGTACAGTTGCATTGCGTATCGCTGTAAGTATATCAAATGTTGTTAAACTATCTAATGGATTAATTGATTCAAGAGCACGTGCAAATGTTTCATGAAATATATAACAAATTCGTGCACCACCACATCTAAATAAACATTAGAAAAATAAATGTATTTATTTGTTGATTTGTTTTTAAAACGAACAATTCTGAAACTTCAATATTTTTTGCTGTGCCTTCAATTGTAGCACAATAACTTGATGCAAATTTTGTTATTATTTGAAGTAATAAACGACCCTATATTATAAAATAACATAGTTTAATAATGTATAGAATATCAAAATACAACTTTATCTTCAATTGGTTCACCAAATGAATTAACAAGCGTTTGAAAATGCGATACCATTTGATTAATACGTGTTTTTAATGCTGGTAAACAATCTCGAATATGATGCATTAATAACTATCAAAGCAAAAAATTATACAACATGAGACATAAAAGTCTTGACAAAAAATGTTAAGCTCTGTTGGACAATATTATCAATTTCTAAACCAATAAAATCCTTTTTTTGTTAGAAAAAGTAATGTCTGAATTGCAAACTTTGTATCGGACATAGTTTTTCACAACGGATTTAAGAAAGAACAAAAGTCACAAGCTAAACATTTCTAAAAACTTCTTCCAAGTTCACTATCGCGCAACATCATTTTCTATTTTCTGTTGAATTTTTCTACATCAGAAGTGAAATGAGAAAACACAGTTAAATGATGATATTTGTACAATAAAAATTGCTCTTCCTAATCACGTACTCAAAGATAAATCTACTCTTTATTTTCATACGAAAATATATAGTGACGGACATAAGTTTAGAGCAGTTATATTTTTAAGTTTTCTTCTGAATGATAATAACCAGCAAAAATCTGAAAAAAAACATATGTGTAGCTGAAATGATTCTCTACTAGAATCGGTAGACCGGAAGACTTAAACAAAAATGTTTGAATAAAAGTATGCGGGAAGCCAAGATCCTCAAAACCACATTTTTGGTTTCTTTTCGAAGCTTTTGGGAAAAGTTTTTTCTCAAAATGTCAAAAATGGCAGACCTCTACCCAATCAGCTTTGTTGAGATCTTTAGATCTGCCAATTCTAATAGAGAATCCTTGTAGTTACATAAATATTTTTTCAGATTTTTGCGAGCTATTATCATCGAGAAGAAAACTTAACAATATAATTGCTTCAAACATTGTCCGTCACTATAGTTTTTTTTCTGAAAGTGACTGCATAATTTGCTTGTTCTTACTACCTGATCGTTTTGCAATAATACAGAAATTTTTTCTTTCTGCTCAATTTCTATGATATGACATATTTCAAACAAATAACACACAAAGAATTCAGTTCATACGTGGTTTCTAACGATTGTAGCTGATGTCCTTCCAAACTGATCGTTCTTGTAACAAAATTCTATTCTACAAAAAAATTTTTACGAAACCGAATATCACTAGACTTTGAGTCTATCTAGATTTCATTGATTTCGAAATTTGAAATATGATCTAACAGAGTTTGATATTCTTTGTTCATCGTATAGTATTTAAATTTAATAGACTTGTTTCAAAAACATACTCTATTTAATGTTTTAGCAAGAAATTGTGTTCCATTTCGACTAGCAATTGATGGATAATTCTTTTGAAGAAAAGCTGATTCATAACGAAGTGCTTCTTCAATTGGCTATAATAAAAATAAATAAATAAATAAGAAAAGATTATTTAATAGTTTTCTAACAAACTTTTTTCTTATGAATATCTTCTTGACTTCGATTGACAACACCAATAATACCTAATTTAACAGGAATAACTCTTCCACAAAGTACATCATATGCATCTGTTCCACGATCCATTAAATCAAGTTTTGTTAAAACAGCTAAAGTTCGTCTTCCTATTAAGAAAATAAAACTAAAAATAAAAAAAAAATTATTTCACTGATACAAAAAAAAAAAACCTTCAGGATCAACTTCTTTAGCAAATTTAACAGCTTCTGATGTTGAAAAATCTACATTTGCTGGTGTTATAGCAAGAATAATAGCATTTGGATTTGATATATAATGCATTATTAAATTTCGTACTTGAGTTTCAATATCAGCAGGTTGATCTTCTACAGGTATCTAAAGTTTTTTTTTTTTTTTTTTTTAATAAAATTCTTATTTTTTCTATTTTCATAAAAAGAAAATCATTTTAATCTTTACTTTTGTTAAACCAGGTAAATCAATTAATGTAAGTGTAACAACTTTTGGTGAATAAATTTTTAATGTTATTGGTTCGTTAGAAATATTCTATGTAAAAAAACGATAACTTATGAGAAAATATTTTATACATTAAAAACAAAACAAAAAAACCTTTTTTCCACCAAGTCGATCAGTTTCTGCTTCAATTTCTTGACGAACTTCATTAAAATCTGTATAAATTTTACCTTTAACATGTGTAAATACAGCAAATTCATTTTCATCAGGTACTGGCACTAATAAAATACTAATCAAATTTTATTATCTTCTTAAAAAATAATAAATTACTTCCTAAACTTTGACATTGTACTGCTTTATCATTCGGTGGTGTATAAACAAGTTGAAGAGTTAATGGACGTCTTGTTACAATACCGGCACCACGTGGAAGAAAATCTCGTCCAACAAGATTTTCTAATACAGAACTTTTACCAGCACTCTAAAATAATAGATTTTTAACAGTAAAAATTGTCTATAATAGAGTTCAAAACAAACTTGTGAGCCCACAACAACTATTTGTGGTAATTGAATACTTTCGGAACCAACTGTATTGAATACATCTTGAAGTTTATTGAGAATTGGAATTAGGGCCTCCATTAATCTAGAATGAATATAACCTTTGTATCAATTCTTTCTTTTTGCTCGGGGATGAAAATGATGAAGTACATATACACACACCTTAGCATCTACTTTTCATTTATTGGAACAAATGATGAACCAATCAAATTTGTTTTCTTGACCTCAATAGTAGTTCTTCATATGAATGAGTTTCAGTTCGACTAAAAAAGGTTATTCCTAAGCAACAATTATATATCAGTGATTTCTTATGAACTATAGATGACAAGTTTTTTCCTGCTGTACTTTTTACTCATTCATATAATGATAAAGATGATTTTATTTAAATCATTTCTATTTCTCTTTCTTCTATTAATTCCATCATCAATCGTTTTTGCTCAAACAACATCATCGTATATCGCTTATCAAACAAGTTTTCCATTTGTTACGTCATGTCCAGACAATCAATATTATGATACAGCTTTATTACAATGTTCACCTTGTCCACCTAATGCGAAACGAAAGTCCAATGGTAATTTTGTTTTTCATAAAGCTATTAACAATCAATTAATATGAATATTTAACAATTAGTGTTTAACATGAAACTTTTTGAAATGTTTATCGATAGTAATAATACAATTAATCTGATGATTAGAATTAATCAGAATATCTTATTATAAGAATAGATATTTCTTACATTAATAGAAGAGTTTACTGTAATAATCAAAATACAACTTGAAAAGAATTTTAACAGATTGAAAATTGTTTTTCGAAAATTCTATAAACTCGAACTTCCTTCCTTAAACATAGTTTGAATGAATCATTAGGATTTTATTTATTTACAGAATTGTTAGTATGTTCATTCTGAAATACCAAGCAAACTAGAATCGAGCGAATCATTAAAATCAAAAGTCAATATTAAAATATCATCTGAGTTGCCAATAATTGATGATATTTTCTTCACACATAATTGACTGATAAATGAAAATTAGATTCATATTGTTATAAATAATTTTCATTCTGTAATAAAACTGAAACAATATGAATTTCGTCGTACTAACTTTCAGTAACTGCCGAAAGGATATTTATTCATTTTCGACACAACCCTCTCCCTCAGCTGATTCTATGTGAGCGTCTTAATTATAACAATCCGTATATGAACTGTGTTTCAAGTAGACATATGCCGTCGAAAACCAGTATAACAAAATTCCTATTTCTCAAAAAACTGTTGCTAAAACGTTTCGGTTGGGTTTAAACTTTCTAGATTTAAAAACAAATGTAGATTTAACAGTAATTTCAACCCCAGAAGTAAATTTTTGCTTGATCTAATGCATCCGAGATATACTACGAATGATTTAAGATTCAGTAGTCTCACATGAAATATTGATGCATAAATATTTTTGAAAAACTACAACACTTTTTGATATTTTTATTTCGAACATATTCAAGTAAAATTTCAGCTTTATATTTATCATTCTTATTTAGATCAAACACAATGTGATTGTGTCGATGATACGTTTTATTATGGTGTAAATCAAGGTGGTGGTTCACTACTTTGTTTACCATGTAATTCAACTTATGTAAGTATATAGAATTCTAGGTTAAGATAAATAATTTTTTTTTGCTAATTAAGGTACGATCAAGTGATGGATTTGGATGTGTTACTGCAAATATTTCATGCAGCTTATTATGGCCGGAAAATGTTAAAAGTAAGTGAAAAGTTTTCTTCTTTTTTTTTTTGTTGGATATAAATATAATAAAAAAAATTTTTACAGATATATATATATTTCATTACTTTAGCGGAATCAGCCCTTGATGGTAGTCTATATACACAAATCACAAATTCTTCAAGTCAACCAAGAATCGGAAATGAAACTTGTGTTCCATGTCAAGATGGTACATGGCCTGATTCAGCTAGTCAACGGTTGGTTATAATTCTTATAGAAAAATATTAATTTTTCAATTATTCTCCTTATTAGATGTACTCCATGTGCTAGTGTCACTCCTCGACCTACAGGACCAGCGGGAAATATCAAATGTTGCAATGTTAGTGAAGCTCAAGTAAGCTTTTTATTTAATATTTTTTAAAAAAACACTTATTTATCTTTTTTTTTTGTCTTAATGAGGATGGTGTCTGTTTAGCTTATGTTCAAGAATCTACAATTAGTGGTTTCCTCGATTTAAATACATTCAAAGTATGTTGATTTTAGTGTCATTCGAAATAAAAATATCTTGTGAAAATTTAGACTCCTACGGCATCATCATTTATTCGACAACATTTGAAAGCATCCTTTTTTCTTTGTCGAGTAAGTTAGGATATTTTCTTTAACAATGAAACTTTCTTTTTTTGTTATTCTCTAGATGAATTTAGGTACAACTACTATACAGTCATCTACACGTACTCTTTTATCAAATGCTACAGCATGTCAAATTTTGGCAAATATTGCTACAATGCAGTTTTTTTATGCTAGAAATGGTTACGCATACGATTATTATGATAATTATATATGGAATCCACAAACAACACCGTCAGTTTGGACAATTTCCAGTGTTCGGTAAATATACAAAAGAAAAAGAGAAAATAAATATATATTTCATTATTTGTTTGTGTTCTATTTAGAACATCTATACCATTTCTTACTTATCCATTAACATTTTATGATGAAATAAATATTGCAACATATAATTGGATACCAGCAAAATATAGTCTTAATAATATAATGAGACTTAAACTAGCTAAATATTCTGCAACCGGGCAATTTTTAGGTCTTGTTGATGCTGCTGATAGTCATATGCAATTCTGTGGAGGCGGTTATACTGATGGTCGAGCTGCTTTTACATTTGGAACGGAATATAAAAGATCGGTGCGTTAAACTATTTTCTGAGAATTTTAATTAGTTGAATAGTGTTAGAGTTATATGAAAAAATTTTTACTTTCGAATTATGTTATTTTTGAGAATATAGATATAAAGTATCGAAACGATGGTTACACTTTGTATATTATAATCAAAGCCTATTCTTCTTTTATTAATTTCGAAACAACATTTCAGTTGATATGTGATAATAAAAGTCTCAAAATCAGTATCGATGATTGATAGTAGAACCCGTCGAGTTGGTTCCAGGGCTAACGACACACGAGTCATATTCTAGTTATGACTTGATTATTACAACATTATTGTCAAGATTGTCTGAGACATGTGTAAGGTGTGTCACATGCACAATACATATAATCAAAGAAAAATATCTTGCATCTGTCAAGCAACTTCAAGACTTAAGAGAGAATTTCGTCAAATATGTCTCATCAATCGAATTGATACTATGCCTATGGGTAGAATATCCTATAAGAAATCAAATGTTGGAAACACTGCAATTTCATATCTTTCCTTGTGAGACATGACTGTTTTGAAGTATTTAATATCTTAACAGAAACACATTTCTTTAGACTGAAATTTTCAACGTATTTTCAAAGTCTACGAGACCTATCTATGGGCAGAATTTCAGGTTGAAATTTTGATGATTCAATTTTTTCATAAATGCCTTGCCAGAGATAGAAAAAAAATCAGTAATAGTATAATAACTTGGGAATGACAGAGAATAGGGACGAATCCTTATGAACTCCTAGTAGTCTCGTCTGCGTCTACTTATGAGCAAAATATCAGTTCAATTGACAAGTAACACTTACGAACGTTTCCTCGTCAGACTAACAAATTCCGTTGAAATACGGACTACGACTTAGACCTAGATTCAAAAAATTTTCATCAACCTGGTCTGAAACAAGTTGGATAAATCGTGGTCGGGTTCAAAATTTTTTCACTCAGCCGGTTTTAATCAATGTTATATAATAATTAATTAATGATGAATTCGTTAAAACTGATATTTCGAATACAATCATAATAAAAAGGTTCTTTTTTTGTCTTAGTGTAATATTCGAGCTGATGCATTATGGAGTTCACCATTATACGAAACGGCTTTTTTTGATCCATGTAAATTATTCTATACAATTATTTTTTTGTTTACCTGAAATTTATGAATGTCACTTCAGATATTGTATTCACTCAAAATGGTGTTGATTATATGTTGCCGTGTCCAGTTGTTGTGATAAATTATCGATCAACAACTGGTAATGCCGTTAATCAAAATGGTATGTTCTTTTTACGCCAAGATAATCTCATAAAGATACATAATTTTGTTTTTTAGCCGATGAATCTTTATGGGTTTATCATCGTCGTTTTTTTCTGCTTGATCGTATTTCGGGCGTCACAACCACCAATAATGGTATGTATGCATATAATATATTATCATTGACGATATCAATAAAATTTGTTATAGAATTACAAAATATTCATTATGCTAAATCAATTAAAATTAGAACTACATTAACAAATGGAGCAGCATATATTCAACCACCACTTATCATTGTTGAATACGATGAACTAACTTCATCTGATATAGGCAAAGGAACTCTTGTTCAGGTGAGAAAATAAATAAATAAATAAATAAAAAACTAAGCCATTTATATGTTAGTTGAAGTGTATATATATATATTTAGTCATAACTAAACTATTCATTATCAAGAATGTGTTGTATGTTCTCGCTTTTTTTTTTCTTATTTGCTCTTTGATTGCTTTTATAATGAGATGAATGAGTTTGCGCGCGCACAACTCAATAGATTAGATGAAAATTTCTTAATTGATGATCGATCAATATGTTTATGTATGAATAGGTTACATTCGAATCTCATTATCAAATGGATCTTAATAAACAAATTAACGATATATGGATTGCTTTTGGTGTATTAGCAGGTTTGGGTATGATTCTTGGATTTTTTCGAACAATAATTTGGTATTCACGAGCAGGACTCGAAACAATTGATTTATTAGTAAGAGAATATTGTTTTTTGAATAAGATTTTCTTTATTTTTATTTTTTATTTACAAAGACAATTTGGAAATTTTTTCTTTATATATGTAATATTCTTGGAACAGTCTTTTTTATTGTTATGGCAGGTGTTTCATTATGGTGGTTAATTTTTTTTAAAGTAAAATATTTGTTTATTAAATTAAAAACGAAATTAATTCTTCTGATTTTATTTAATAGAGACAAGATGCAATATCTCTTGTTATGCCAACAAATGCACAACAAGTATCATTTACAGTACTTGTTATTATTGGATTTATATTTAAAACAATCGATATTCTTCATTTAATTATTCGTCAATCAAATGCGGATATATTTTTTATTGATTGGGAAAAGCCCAAAGCAGGTATAAAGAAATTCGTTATTTTAATTTTTGATTTTTAATGATTAATTACTTTAGGATATAAAAGTACTGTTTCTATATGGCGAACATATTTTGTTGCAAATGAATTTCAAGAAATTCAAACATTTCGTCGTGTTAGCGTTATATTTCAATTATTCTTTGTTTTATTTTTACTTAAAGTAATAGAAGTTCCTTTATTTTTTTTAATGTCAAGAAAGATTGAAATTAAGAAGTTATTATTCTTTTCTTTTTCTCAAGGTAATTAACTTAGAAAATGTAGCTACGATGGAACCAGGTGTAAATATTTTCCCAACAACTTCTGACTATAAACCTGAATATAATGGTATTCTTCGTGTTGGTATCGCTTTTTCAATGTGGCTTGTAACAGGTATAAAAATCAATTTTTTATAAATTTCTGTTTGATAAAGAAATAAAAACATTTCTTTTTATTTTATTTAGCTCTTATTCAATATTTAGTTTATGTAATATTCTATCAACGTTTTATTGAAGATAGTATACTTAATTTTATTGATTTATGTTCGGTATCAAATATAAGTGTATTTATTTTAACGGATTATCTCTATGGATATTATATTCATGGTCTATCACCACATGGAACAACTGATGTTAATATGAAAGAAATGATAATGAATTTAGAACGTGAATCAAATCAAATGAGTGGTGGACGTGGTTTACAAGTAAAATCTGATGAACAAACATTTATTGTTCAACTTACTAAAAGATTTCGTTCACAATATAATAGTTTAATTAGCAGCTATCAAGTAGGACGGAATGAAAAAATTATTTTGTTTAAGAAATTATGTTTTATATGTATTTTTTTAAATTGTTGTTTAGACCCAAAATCGTACATCTGCAACAAACCAATCTGATAAAAACAATCCAGAGCATCTATTGAGATCCTATCAAAATTTAAATGAATTTTTATGTGCATTTATTACTCATTCATTACCAAACGATAAATATACTATTTGTCCACGACGTTTTGTAGAAAAACTTCTTAATTATGAATTTCAAGAACCTATTCCTATTGAAAGCTTCGAAGAACAAGAAAATCGATTTTTTATTGGTAAGTAAAATAAAAACCAAGAAATAGAAAATAAATTTTTTTTAATTTTTAATAAGATGATGAAAAAAATTTTACAAGATCATTTTTTACTGGTCATGAAAACTCATTATTTGTATGGAATGCGGCAACATTTCTTTTTATTGATTATCTCGCATTTAATTATGTATTAGCAGCAATTCTTACATATATACTCAATTTAGTAAGAATGATTTCTTTTTGTTTGAAATCAAACTTTATTCTGGGGATTTTTTTTTTCATTAATAGATAGCAGAAAAAATGCGTTTATCATTGGGACGAAAAAATTTATCACAGAAAACATTAATTCCTAAGAACTTTCTTATTTAACTCTGTGTTTTTTTTTTAATATGAATTTCATATTAGATTCACTCATGTGTCTGCTTATTAACAAGTCTTTTTTTTTTTTATTGTTTTGGGCGTTCTTCTTTTTTCTATGTTTACCGCCGTGTCTAAAATAATAAATACATTTCTCATTGTATTTCTTAATTGATAATATTCTAACGACGAAAATTCTTTTTCTTTTTTTTGTTTGGTGAATCTTCAAAATATATTAAAAATGAAATGATTAACAAGAACATTACAATTAAAAATAAAAGAGAAGGCTTAGTTGTAAAATAATGATGAATGAACAAACAATAAAGAAATTTAGTTGAATTAATTTTTATAAAAAAAAAAAAAAAAAAAAAAAAAATTATTAATGTAATATTATCTAAAAATATGAAAACAAAACAAATTCAGAGAATGAAAAATATTATTGATGATTATGATAATGAATTTGATAGTCTACAATTAGACATTAAAATAATTACAGGAAGATTTCTAGTAAAGAAACGAATTGGTAGTGGAAGTTTTGGTGAAATTTATCTTGCTGATGACTCAATAAATAATATATCAGTTGCAGTTAAAACTGAACGTATAGAAGCTGTTGTACCACAGTTACTTAGTGAGTGATAGATTTTTATATTATAAACCAACAGACTTTCTATCATTCTCATTGTCTGAACGGAGATGATGATGCGATCCGAAATATTAATTCTAATTTTTTATAATTCCGAATTATCGAGAAAATTCATCAAAGTATCAACAAAATCTTCAAAATGTGATTCATTCATCGAAGTGTGATGTTGTTAAAAAATAACAATAAAAAGAAAATTCAGTAAATTAACAACAAATCTTGACTTAACTAGCATATAATTTTAGTTTTCTCAACGAAGTTTTGTACAGTTGCAAAGCTCCAGAGAAATTCAACAAAGAAAAATATATCTACAGTATAAATATGAGACTAACGAAGGAACCTATTTAGACGTCCGCTTCCGATTTAAAGGATTTAGATTCCTAGTGATATTTAACTAAACTATCAAATTTTTAATATATATGTATTTTATATAGGTCCCAAGTTTCCGAAAAACTCATATTTTCGAATTTCTATCCTAAACTTTGCTCATGTAGAAAACTCAAGTAGACCAACTTCCATAAAAAAGTCAGAAGTTTTGAACAAAATATTTTCGAGATATGAGACTTTCAAGATGTAGACTCTTTTTCATACATAGTGTATACCAGAGCTATAATTGGACTACCTGAAATGACTACACCAGCCGGCTTTCACCGATTTTTACTGGCCGGAACATATTTTGTAGATATGCCGTTTCCTCTAATAGAACTTATTGAGTGCAAGTTTGCTTGCTCTTATCAAATCAATCAAACTATTGTTTCAAGAACTAGCAGTCTTATTTTCTTTTGTTCGTTCATACTGTTTCATTTCTTTAATTCAAGTATATCTCATTTTTTTAAAAACACAATATAAAGTGTGTTACTTGAATTACACTTATATCATATATGTTTTGGTAAGAATAAAATCTGGGTTTAGATCATCGTTTGAAGAGAGTCATTAGGTTTGTCTGCCAAGTCTGAGTGAGCTAATTCAAGATTTGATGTTTAGTAATTAACTAATGGGCAAATTACTCTTTTTTTCGTGATATATATATATATATATAGAAGTACTGCATGTTCATCTTTGAGAAACTTAACAGATAAAAATGACTATAACATAATATTACTTCTTAGATATTTGTAAAAATCTGCGTGCAAAGAGGAAAATGAATGTTTTTTGAAGCCATTTCTATTGATCTACTAATAATGATGTAAGAAATTGGTTAGTTTTTGTTGGTTTTCACTGATCTAAAAGACTTTTTAAACCAGTTGACCACCGAACAGACCGAGCCAGTTTATAAATTCTTAGCCGGTTACAACTCTGGTTTATACAATATGTATTGTTTGAGAATTTCATATCTCAAAGAGACTTTGTTCACAATTTCTGAATCTTTAAAGAAAGCTGGTCTAATTTAGTTCTCTATGTCTACAAAGTTTCAGATCGAAATTCGAAGATAAGAGTTTTTCGAAAACCTAGGGCTCCTAGAAAATAGAAATATTAAAAAATCGATAGCTTAGTCAACTATCAATAGGAACCCAAATACTTTCAGGTTTTTTTTTTTTATTAGAACACTCTAGCATCTATAGGCAAAAAAAAATCATTGAAATCGAAAGGTGACAACTGAAGTTTTCTCTTGTAAACAATAATAACAAAAAGAAATAACCGAGAGAATTAATGATGTTGTTTATTTTGATTATACGGACTTAGAGGATTTTATCTAGTTGAAAAACTGGCTTTTAAACGAATGAAAGATTCAATTGGCTTTCCAAAAATGATATATTATGGACAAGAAAAAAGATATAATGTTTTGATTATGGATTTACTTGGTCCATCACTTGAAGATCTTTTCAATTTTTGTAATCGTTCTTTTACTTTACATACGGCTTGTATGATAATCGATCAAGCTATCAGTCGAACGAAACAAATGCATGATCGATCTCTTTTACATCGTGATATCAAACCTGACAGTGAGTCTTCTTACTTAACAGTATTTTTATCGATTTTTCTTTAGATTTTTTAATGGGTGTCGGTCATCATTCTCATATTCTTTATTTTGTTGATTTTGGTCTAACAAAACAATATCGTGATTTTATCACATATGTTCATTGTAATTTAGTTTACGGCAAAAGTTTAACAGGCACAGCTCGATATGCTTCATTAAATACTCATCGTGGTTTTGAACAAGCTCGTCGAGATGATCTAGAATCAATTATCTATAGTTTATTATATTTCTTAAGAGGTTCTTTACCATGGCAAGGTCTAAAAGCGAAAACTAAACAACAAAAATATGAAAAAATTGCTGAACTTAAACAAACAATACCTATCGAAGAATTATGTTCAGGTTTACCGTCACAAATTATTACTATAGCTTTATATGTTAAATCATTAACTTTTGATGAACAACCTGATTATAATTATATCAAACGACAATTACGTACTATTATTATTTCTAATAATCAAAAATATGATTATCAATTTGATTGGCTTAATAAATCAGAACAAATCAAGAAGAATTCTTTGATGAAGAATCCTTGTGATATTTTTATTTAATACTATTTTTTTTTCTAGAATCAAATACAATATTGATAAAAAAAAAAAAAGTTAAGGGTATGTTTTATTTGAAAATAGAAAAACAAAACTTGAAATCTATCATTGTACTGGTAAGAAACGAGAGGTATCGATTTTCATTTGAGCCTTGTGCATTAATATCTCATTCAATTTACTGTAGAGATTAAGGACTCGATAACTTTGTGATAACGTTGTTTTTTTCTTTTATTATTCATCTAATGCATTATAACTATAACATGTGTTGATTGCATATGAAAATTCAAGTTTGCTTTGTTTTCATTCACTTTTATTACGCGTAAATGATATATTATTTGATTTTAACTCTTTTTTTCTAGATGATTTTCTCTATTATTCTTATTTTTTTTCTTCAACAAATTAAGAATTATGGAATTGTTGCTGGTATTGATGATGTCAGCGCTGATTTGACGCTTATTCGTGTGTATTATAATATGCCTGGTTTATCTGCTTTAGCTTTAAAGAAAGGTGAAATTGTCGCACAAGGTGCATCAGGATATCGTCGACAAGGTGATTCAACACCTCTACTCGTTACTGATCCAATCAATCTTGGTTCATGCTCAAAATGGATGACAGCTACACTTGCTGGTCGTCTAGTTGATCGAAAAGTTCTATCATGGACAACACAAATACGAGAATGTTTTCCTAATTATGACAGTTTTAATACTTCTTTTCACAATGCTACTTTGGAACAATTCTTAGCACATCGTTCTGGTGTTCAACAAAGTACGACTTTTTATAATCGTCATTTAAAAGAATTACTAGTACAAAAAGGTACATTTCGTCAAATTCGTTCTTGGGTTGCTGAAACTGTTCTAAAAGATCCATCAGAAGTTCAACCTGGTGAATTTCTTTATGCCAATCAAGGTTATGCTGTTGCTGCTGCTATGATAGAACAACTTACTGGTCGAGATTGGGAATCATTAATACAAGAATATATTTTTACTCCTCTAGAAATGACTAGTGCTACGATTGGTATTATCTATGATGAAACTATGCCACCTAAAAAACCAGTTGGTCATGATTTACCTCTTAATTATAAAGTGCCTATTCCACGTCCAGTTCCTGGTGCTACTTTACTTTATAATGATCAAGCTGCAACAGGTCCTGCTGGTTATATTGCATGTACACTTCAAGATTGGGCTAAGTTCTTACATATACATGTTATCGGTGAAAGTACTGGTTTTTTAAGTAGTGAAACAGCAGCTAAACTTAAACGTCCATTTATTGGTGTGGAAGGTTATGGTCTCGGAGTTGCCGCATATAATCGTACTTGGGCAACACCTGGTCAAGCTTTAGTACATAGCGGTGACATATTCGGACAAGATACTGTCTTTTGGATGACTCCTAGTCGAGATCTAATTGTTGCTGCTTATACTAATTGTCGTTCAGATGATAAATCTACAGGATTAGCTTTAGACAATGCTGCTGGAATGCTTATTGGTAGATATGCTTATAATTCAACAAAAACCAGAACCCATATTCACGATCCTATTGTTCTTGATCATTTATCTATTTTACCTCGTGATGCATGAAAAGTTGTCATTTGGGTTTTGTGGTATTCGAAAGCTTCGATTCTAATATTTTAAAGTTAACTTCACTCATTCATTAAAGATTATTTATTTCAATAAATAAATTTTCATGATTTATCGATTCCATAAATGAAAATTTAACAAGTTATTGTTAATATTGCCAATGGATAAAACTTTTCGATACGATTGAATTATAAAAAGTTCTTCATACTAAACCTCTATTCGTGACTGTTTTGATCAATATTATTAGAAAAAACAAATGATAAAAAATAATAACTATTTTTCTGTGTTGTCACAGTATTGTAATGTTACTGTTGCTCATATGCTAAAAGCTTTACATTAGGAAAATTTCCAACAAAGTATTTGCATATGTAGATTATTAACTATACATTTGATAAGATTTCCCTCGAGATTTTAATTAGATTATCTAAAACACTTTATTATGGTTTACACGCTTTGTAACTACAATCATCATGAATATAAAATGAAAATATTCTAATAAAGTTCTAATCTGATATTTTTGTATTAATCATTTACTTCGAATATTAAAAAGAACGAAAAGGCGCAGATCTATTTCAAAAATAACTCAAGCTATCCCTTCAAAAGTCAATTTTTGTCAAAAAAATGAAAATTGAGATAAATGCATAGAAAGATAGTCTGACATCTGATCTTTTATCAATGACATGATTTTTTATTTGAAATTTTTTTCTCAACAAATTTCCGTCATATTCTGCTCGAAAAATATGTTTCTTTTTTGATAAAGTGACAAATCTTTTTCGTTTTTTTTTCTGTATAGGCTATTTTGATTGCGCGCATTCCAAAGTATTTGGTAGAATTTCATTATAATCAACGGCGTTTTTTCTTTTTTTTTTAAAGAGCATGTCAAGATACAGAGCATAACAGAGTCCCGTTTTTGAAATAATTTTTGCTAATATGATATAAAAGAGAATCCTTATAATAGGAGCGCCATATTTTTTGAGACATTAAATATTTCATCACTTTTCTCCTCTTAAAAAGTAAGAGTTGAAAAAAAAAGGACTCTGTCATACCGTGCATTATAATCATTGTTACTTCACTAGAGCCTCCAAATATTTTGAAAATTTCATGACATTTGATTATACCTAGTTGAAGATCGATGTTGAAGAGGGCCCTTAAACTATTTGGTGCACAGTAGTTAAATCAATTGTTTTTTTTTTTCGTTCTACTACTTCAAGATACGGGCTAGCTTTAAGATTAATAAGAGTTTAATGAATAAAAATCAAATGTTAAATGTTCATAGTAAAAAAGAAGCTGTTAGTGCAATCTCTGTGAAGTCAAAAGATTAAACATGACATAGTTGTTGATACTAATTACAGTGAGATTGATTTATTTTATATATTTTAGAACTCATTTCTTCGTTATTCTTTTACTTAATTATAGAAAAATTCAATAAGAGAGTAGTTCATATATTACAACGAGACATTATTGATATACGGCACCGTTTCTAACATGTCTATCACATCTTTAGATGAAAAAAGAGAGTCCGAATTTCTATCTCTATACTTCAATACTTCGTTTACAGGTCATGCTTCACAAAAATGTAAATTAATCAAAATTGAAGATTAATGAGTCGGTGTGTTTTTTCCATTTACAATGTCTTATCATTATCGCAATTAATTGTTACCGAATCATGCTCTCATAACATAAAGTTCAATTGATGTTGACATTTTAAAGAACATGAATGTAAATTCTTCTACGCAAATATTGATTAGTCATAGATAACAACTGTCATATGAACTTTTATAGAAAGGTTGCATCTTCTATTTAAATATGAAAATCATATTATCTGCATAGATTCATCCGTCGATGTAGTGTAATATTCGGTTATAAATGCTTATGTAAAATTTATTTATTTTTTCTATTAATAGAAAAAGAAAAAAAGAAAAAGAAATAAGATTTCGAATATGGCTTACAAAATCTGTTGATCGTTTTAGTTACGCTCTTATACAGAATAAAAATAGTTCAAATAAAAGCTACTCATCAATAAACAATTTAAGTTAATAATTCATGAAATGAGCTCCTCTACATAATTGTTTACCTCCAAACGAATTTTTTACTTTCATTCATTCTCTATTGATTATTGATTTTACATATTCCAAAAAAAGAGTACCATTTATCACCTTATACCTGTAGATTATCATAACCAATTATAAATCATCAACATTCTTATTTGTGTTTTGTTCAACTTCAATGAAACTTTTCTTTCTCTATTAAATCTATTTGAATATATCTTATTAATTTTTCACGTTGAAAAGTTTACCAACTGTTGTTAGTCGATCGTGATTAGAAGAATAACGTGATGTATGCATTCTTTTTTACTCGTTCATTTGTTCATGTTCATAAATATTAAGTTACGTCAAATACATCACATTTTTTAAAATATATTCATTTACCTATGGTTATTTTTCTTGCGGAAAATTTTCATTAGAATTAAATTCACCGTTATAAGTCACAATATAAATGCCCGAACGTATGTAAACGATGTCATTCATTCAAATCGAGAAGTCGATTATTCGAAGGCAAAAAAATAAATCAGTGTTCCAATTGTCTTTAGCAATTCTTAAATATGATTGAATCCGTAGTTGCTATCACTACTATCAATAGAGTAAATGAAGAGAAAGAATGAATGAGAGAAGAGAAAAGAAAAAAAGTTAGTTGACAAGCGTTCTTATCGATGATGTGTATTCAATATTTCTGTTGTCAAGTTTGCTCATAAGTACAATGTCTTTTTCTTCATTCCACTAATAAAGGTGTTCCGGAAATTCTGAAACGATTTTAAAATTCATCGTTCTCGTATTCAAGAAATGCAAACTCTTTGAAACTTTGGCATATTATTGCACATATGTAGTGCCACATAACTACAAAGTTTGAGGTCTGTAGGTTGTACTATAGAGAAGAACCTGTAACAACACTATGATGTACTATTTTTTAAATTTTCCTGTATTTCGGGTCTGCCAAAATATCTATATTTCAGTTTAGGTAGATGATAAAATCTTGAATTTTTTTTCAAAAGATGCTCCGTGAAAAGCTCTACAAAAATTGCAATAACAAATCCCTATTGACTTGTGTTAATAGCTTCTGCCAAACACAAAATGAAAAACCTACATGATAGTACTACTTCTCACCATATTGTGCGTAATAAAAAATGTTTGGAAGACCTTGTTGTTTTGCATGTATGTCAGCCTGAGAAAATGATAAAATCTTGATTTTTTTTTTCAAAAGATGTACCGTCGAAAGCTCTACAAAAGCTGTATAAACAAATTTTTATTGGAAAGAAAAACAGTTTTCCAAACTTTTTTTTTTTTTGTTACACGCAATATGGTGAGAAGTAGTACTATCTACCATGTAGGTTTTTCATTTTGAGTATGGCAGAAACCATTAACACAAGTCAATAGG